AATGGCGGTTGGTCAACGCGACTCGGTCGGAGCACTCTCTTCCCGGCATTGATGGATCCACACGTCACGACGGGATTATTGGCACGAAAAATCACGCACAGCACCCCACAACTATTACTACTAAGTGGCACTTTCCCTACTTTCAGATTATAGCTGCAGACTCACTCGGTGAAACACAAAATCCTTTGATGGTTTCAGCTAATTCTTCGTAATGCGTGTATTAGCGTTAGCGATCAGCGGCAAAATGGACGAGAAACATCTCTTCCTGGTCAAAGATCCTTTTACTTCTCCTCTATCCGAGAAGAAATCATTTTATTGACCGATATGCTAATTCGGATATCAGTAGCGCCCGCCGAATATTTCGTCATTGGTCAATATGCAAATTAGAAAAGTGACAGCGCCCTCATTTTATTTCCTACTTCTTCGCTGTTTTACCTCTCTCACCCTCTATTAAATCGCATCGGTCAGCATTGATTGATGAGAAAGATTTACCTCTACTCCTATTTATTTTTTGGTGCGGACGGAAATAAAATTTATTCTAATTCGCTTATTGGTCGTGGCTTCACCGGCAAGTTTCGTCAAAGGTTCAAATTTCATCAATCAATTATTAATTTAATATGTCAGATTGTTTGTCGCTTATTAATACCTTTAAGGGATTGTATCGGCCGCATACATGTATTTTCTAAATTATTTTAGTATATTTCATACTCTAAATCGCATCGCTAGATATTTTGCAATGATACAATAGTTGTATGTCAGTTTTATCTTCGTAGCGCCTTCATCATCGCGTTTGCGTTCGAATTAGTATTGTATTTATTCTAGTTCGCTCGCTTTCATATGGTCCGCCTCGCTTGCTCTTGTTTAGTCTGTCTCGCTCACTCTCATCTAGTCTGTCTCGCCCGCTCCCGCTTAGTCCATCTCGGCGCTTCAAAATGGTCGCCCTCGCTCGCGCATGTAAACCTCGTGCTCTGTTGCCGGTCTCCAGACCGCCTCCTGGAGTGCTCCCCCTCGATCGTGTGGTGTATGTGTGTATTCGAGTGTTGTGTGTGTGTTTTCCGGGTATTACTAGTGATCAGCAGCAGTATGTGTGTGGCGCTCAGGATGTTGCCGATGATGCGCAGTAGCCTGACACAGCTGATTGCCGGATGCTGCTTCATCGACGATTTTCTGGTCGCCCCAGGCGTGTCAGCTTCTTCAAAGTGTCTGTGTTAATTTCTAGGTGTGTAAGGTGTCCGCAGGTTTCGCTAACATGCATTTCCATTGCATTTCCCAGTCAAGTTTCCGTGTTTTTCCTCCAGCCGGCAAGGGAATGTGTGTGTATGCGCTCTCTTTTTTCGCGTCGTGCGCTCCATTTTTCGCTCATCTGTTTGATCGTGTTCTTTGATTTGTTGCATCGTTTCCTCGAAATGGACGAAATGGGCGAAAATGGAAATAAAACAATTTACCTGTTAGAGCGCGAGTCGGGTATAATTATTCGGTTGGTTACGGGGCGGCAAGGGAACACTTCTCTGAGGTGTTGCAAATAGTACAATACCCTCAGGTAAATCCTTGTAATGCACCGAATGATAACCTAAACGACATTCTTTTTACCAAGCCTGATGGCATACTGAAACTTAGGATATAGCACTATTACATGGTTTTGTGATTGTTATATAAATAGATATGAGAATATGCCTACTCTGATATTCTTCAGGTGTGTGTGTGTGTGTGTGTGTGTGTGCGAGCATGTTTATCTATAATATACTATGTACTTGTATTATAACGAGTAAGAATGTTGACTAGTTATGTCTCTTTCTCCCTATTAGTTAATTACCTTTCTCTGTATTAATGTTATTATATTGCATTTGAGATTATGCCTTATAGAATAACATTTACAGCTGTATGCAGATCAATTAATTATTGTTCACGATTAGTAGCGCAAGGTAACTGAAAGTGGGAAGAGAGAGAGAGGCATATATGCGACGGAGTCCTTACGCGCGTGAGTTATACTATGAGAGATACACGTGCACGCGACGCGAGTTTGTTACCGCGCACTTTGATTGATCGACGCAGACGCGCGTGTAGAGTCCACGAGTTGAGTAACTTAGCGGAGAGCTTCGAGAGAGAATGGACGAAGACAATAAGAAAAGGGCTCGGCACCTCAGAATTTTCAGCGACAACGTATCGGCAACGATAGCAGATAGAAGGAGAAGATTCCTTATCGTGCGTGAATCCTGTCCACGTAGTGATCGACTGCGATGCACGGGTTGCAGAAGAAGAGGCGAGAGCGAGGACGCAATAGGCGGAGCCCACGCCTTGATATACTTGCGACTAGCAAGGACGCAAAACTTATAAGTACCTGTTCGATAGCTATCTCTCTCTTGCTTGACACGACACATGCTCTCTCTCCCTTTCTCGCGTACCGCTGTTATCTCTTTATGAGGAATTACTTTAAAAAGATGTTTATAGCGCATCTATGAGTTGACTTTCTACACTTTTACCTAGTCCCATTGCGTTCATTCTACTCGCGCTACGTCGGATTTTGCGCTTTTTCAGCTAACGCGACGTATCCACGCCATCTGGGCCGCACAGCAAACGACGTAGACACATTCCTGACGATGCACCTAGCGTGCATGATACATATATATATATATATATATATATATATATATATATATACTTATATCTCTTATGTCAACGCGATGAACCGGGCTGATTCCGCGTTACAGTATATAGGCATATTAAAGCAAACGTAAGTAATGGCGTACGACACAGTCCAATTCCGAGTATGTAAAAATCATGAGCAGTATAATAAAATATATTATATTGTCTGAATATATATAATATACTTGCTTTATATTTCTATAGTAATAAATCAGGATAATATGTATTATATTTTAAATGGAAACAAGTAATTTAACACTATGGCGTTTAATTTATAATTAAGATTAATATATTTAACAATGTAATAGAGATTAAAAAAATAGGTAGATGAATAATATGCCAGCACGTAAATATATAATTTCCAACCCTAACTTCCATACATCTTTATATTTTACTGCTTTATTTCTTTTTTAAACGTATATTGTATATTTGAATATGCATAAATATTTATTAAGTAGTTTAATATTTAGAGCCGGAGGAATTATCATAAATAAAATATTTTTACATTCATGATTGAAATAATATTTATACGTAAAGAAAGAGTATTTTGAAAAGTACTGAAAGCAAAGATTTGGAAAAATAAATTAAAAATAATATTTTTCAGCTATAGAAACAGTTTATATTTTAAAATAAAATTTCAGTACTTTCGATGCTTTTGAATAATTAAAGAATATTAATTCTTTGAGTTGTAACAGGATGTCGACGTAAATTTTTCTTTTACTTTTTTCACAGAGATATAGTTATAGATAAAAAATATCTTTAGCATATTTAGAAATATTAAATTCACTATTCGTGTACCTCTATAACGTTAAAAAAATAATTTTACTTACAATTACAGTCAGAGAATATCACTTTTATCGTTCTTTACTGCGTGAATTACATCGAAAATAATGATGGAAAAGTGGATAGATCTTAAAACTATAATCGAAGAATACATAAAAAACTTTTTAGAACTTTTGAACGTTACATTATAAGGCTGTTAAGTGATTATATGATTTAGAACCTGTTAATACCCGTTAGAATGAAATACTTTGTTTCGTTTGTAAAAGTGATCTGAATTACTAAAAATGTAAATATTGACTGAATGCTAAAAATATCTATATGCATAATAAAATATCATTCATAGCTCGATGCCAGTAATGTAGACATGCTTTCAACTTAAAAATACTCGTCTGGAGAAATACAATCGATCACCTGTTCCTATCAAAGATCTATTAATTTGCAATTATTGAAATAATTAAAAAATTTATCAGAAACGACCGTCGGCGATTTACTAGGTGCTGAATTCTAAGTACTCGTGGCTGTGGATTTCATTTTATATTGTAACGATCACCAACTCCCGTATAAGAAATCACACGAAATAATTATAAAAAAAGGATGTAACTTTATTTACTACATAACCCTAGCGACACGATTTAAGACTACCCGACAACTAACTAACTTTACGACAACAACACAACTGCTTGGCAACCTTCTGATCTTCTTTTCTTGACGTTCGACGGTCCGACATATAACGATATGATCTTGGTAAAGATAATGAAATCTCTTCCTATCGCCTTGCCTATAAAATTTTTCTAAAAAGTAAAACTTACATACGAGTAGGGTACAGATAATATCTAGAGCCTAGAGACTATTTGGAAAAATGTAGTTGAAAGCAAGTGAAAATTGTAATTCAACAATTTCTACGAAGCAGCAATTTTGATATATTGTAAGATATAATATAATAAGAAGATATTATAAGAGTATATTATAAGAGTATATAATAAGAGTATATTATAAGATATATATTTCAGTAAGATCAAAATTGTTGCTTCGTAATTATAATAAATAGTGTTAAATTACAAATTTTTACTCGCTTACAACTAAAAAATGAATTTTAAAATAGTCTCTCGGCTCTAATTATTACGGGCAGTTTACTCGCATATAAATTTTAATTTTTGAGAAAAGTGTGACAGATAGAAGGAAGGAAGAGAATGAACCCATAAAACAGTAATATATAAAATTATATCTTTAGAAAAAAATTGAACTGAAATGTCTCGGCCTACAAAAATCAAAACTGATTTATAACACTTATGATTTATGGCACTTTTATAACCTATCATTAAATAATTTTTAAATAAGTCAGAAGAGATGGTTACCAAATTATATGGAAGCTTGAAGAATTAAAGGAAGTAATGTCAAAAGAAATGCTCATCACTATCTACCTCAACAGATAACAGAGTAGTAAAAGTTTTACTAGGACTTGGAGTAATTTTAAATGTAATTTAAGTATAATGTAATTGATGAAATGTTTACTTACTTTTCACACTAGTTACGTAAGATACTATTTCAAATTTTATAGTATATTTTATTAATAGGTTCATTAAACTTCATGCCAAATACCTTAAAACTTATACGAGATAGAGGCGCGGAGCTACGTCACGCTTATGTTACCACTCCAATGTGCTGTCCAAGTCGAAGTTCACTCCTAACAGGACGTTATGTCCACAATCATCAAGTTTTTACTAACAATGATAACTGCAGCAATTCGGAATGGCAACATGATAACGAGCCGTACACATTTGCAACTTATTTAAGTCACGCCGGCTATCATACAGGTATGTACCTTTAAATTCAAATTATTGTACCATTTGTGAAAATAATTTTCAATACAAATATCAATACGATAGACAGCACAAGCCTAACGATGACTGATACTTTTATGAAATCATTTCTGGTAATAACTTAATGCAATTTGATGCAAATTATTTAATTAAAGACTTATAGCTCAAGTAGGTATTTTTCAGCTAGAGAAATGTTTCTCATTACTAGAGAAATATCTTGTCAATAAATATTGTATTTGAAAACATCTTTACTGAAAACTAACGGAAAAAAATTGCCAAAAGCATGTAGAGATTAATTATCGACAAGTTATTACGTGCGGTTCAATCTCGCTTGCAATCGGCATCAATATCTAGACATATATAAAAATGTAAGAGGTGTATGAAAAGGCGGAATTGCAAGAAATCAAGATAATTCCTACGACTTCTATAAAAATCACCCGGAGGATACCGCCAGCCATCCCAACTAGACTTCCTTCCACAATACGACCTAAACCTAATCATATAATTTCCGAAATAAGTAAGATTTTTTCATTAGATGTTAACTAATTAATTGCAAATCTTTTCTCGATATTGCTTGAGTGTTACACGAACAAAGAAAAATACAAAATGTTTGCCTAAAATTTTATTTTCGACATTATTTATGCGGAAAAGAGAGCGAAATAGTCGCTGGTTTCTTTTATTTATATAGCATGCATTATTTGCTTTTGGCACCGTTTATAAAGAAAACTTCTGTACTATTTCTGTATTACATTTTTGTTTATTTGATTAAATACATACATATACCATTAAATATCATTACATTTGTACCAATAAACTATACTTGTACCTACAAATACATTATAATAATCACTTCTTTGGAAATCCGAATATTTCAGAATGAGAACTTGTAGGTAACGAGAGTAGAACCACGTAAAACTAAAGTGATACACTTCTCATATACCGAAAAATATATCTATAAAAATATATCTTGATGCTCGCTGAACCATAAATTCTAAAAATTTGAATATCAGAAATTTGTCAATTATAAATTAATAGCAACATATTTTGAATCCCTTATTCCTAAATTTTTAGACCTGTAATCAGATTTGGAGCAAAATGGAACACTATTTTGTACTTTTTGGAGATAGAAAATAATTGTGTAAATGATAGTTCTAAAGTTTTTCAGAAACTACAAAGTTAGATAGTCCAAATGTTTTTGGCGGGAAATTTAAATTTTTAGAGCAGATCGGAAATTTCAAATTGGAGCTAATCTTGGCTATTTATACCTGCTATAACGAGTTTGACATCAACTTGAACTATATTTCTCCTTAGCAGCAGCAGACGACGACTACGGAGAAGATAAGAGAGAACGCCGGCAGAGAGAGACCGCGTGCGCGAGTAGGTTTAGCGACATGTATGACGAACCGCGCGCCGTGCGCCGCGTGACGAAGGGCCAGCAATTAGCCGATATCTCACGAGCCGTGCAGACGCATTCGTTCGTGCGTGCATTTATATCAGCCTTTCTTTGTGAATCGTCTCGTGGCAACAGAGAGACTTTCGACTGTGATAAGTGAGAGAAGTGTAACCGTGCGTGCAATACCTCTCTTCCTTCGTGACAAGCAACAGCGCAGTTAGGCGAATTCTGCAATCATGCCGAATTGTAATTGAAGGGCTTCGATTAATGTAAGTACTGATCGTTCCTTAGATCTCTCTCTAGCTTTGCCTATCTTGCCGCTCTCTCCGAACCGCCCTGTACACTAACTCGTACATAAATTTTATATATTTTTATACGATTAAAATTGCATGGCTTTTCTTTTGAACTACCCTTTCCTTTCTATCACTTCCCTTAACTTTCACGATTTAAGCTGCGCGACCCACGACGCTCTCCACGGGTCAGTTGGCGATCTGACCTACCGGGCCGGTCTTGCGTAGCAGAACGCAGAACCGCGAAGAGCTGTATTTGTGCCAGCCACTACTTAATCTCGGTATCATTAATATATTGTAGCGGTCTAAATCTCCGTTACACTGCAACTTTGAAAAAATTCTAAAATATTTTTCAGAGATAGAAAAACATGAATGGATTTTTCAAATTTTTAGAGGTGGTAAGGTTGTCCAAATTGCGAAGGTAGTAAAAAAATATAAAAATCACTAAAAGTCACTAAAAAATCCAGTTTTTAGCTTCTAACTCTTTTTGAATTAATTCTATGATAAAACTTATAGAATAATTGTATTCTACATTAAGAATTACATCAAAAATATATATAATACTTTTATCATCAGAACCAATCCGTCATGAGATTAAACTACCTACCTGTATTTCTCCTATATACTAAACATAGGTAAGCATGGATCTGAAGTTTGATCGTCTACTTCTCATAACGAATTGAACCTGATGATAAGAGTATTATACATAATATATAATAATATTTTTATTTAATTTTAATGTATTTTTCTGCGTAAAATATGATGTGTTATTAGTTTTCACGGAGGAATTATATACACAGCGCTAGAAACGATAAACCTATTTTTCAGCGGTTTTTTGCTTCTAGCACAGTGTCGACAACTCCTATGAAAAAATTGATAGCACTACCATATTCTATATAAAAAAGTACATTGAAAACATACTTTCATCATTAGTACCATTATACGACGAGAAATCGACTATTAAACTCTTGAAATTTGTTAACAGTCTGAAATCAATATATTTATTATTATTCCTTGCTATCTTTATGACGTATACTGTTTACTATCCGTATCTTGAAAATGATGAAAAAATATCATTTTCTGTTCATGATGAAATGCAAAAAATTCTAGGATTTTTAAAAGTGGTAGAAAACTGTCAAATAATTAAAATAATCTATTTCACGTATTTTTGCCTATGCAAAGACGTCAAAGACCGTGAAGGCAATATTAAACAAGCGATTTGTTTTCCAAATTTGTCCTTTTCAGGATTCAAACGTTATTACCAAGTTATTGCCATCTTGAAGGCGTCATCACCATCATTACGGTCGTATATGTAGATTTGGAATATCCAATGATAGAGGTAAGGCTCTTAATGTCTACAGTCCGCATCCGTAGATTATGAACTCGCTATAAACCGTATAGAGCTACGATTGAGTGGGTATCTAGGCAAGAACATGCGAGACATGAGTCAGTTCTTTCTTTTTTTGTGTTCTGTTTATTTATATTGTATATAGAATTCAGAATGTACCAAGTTATTACCAAAAATAATCATTGAGCTGTATATAGCTGTCTATAGTAGCATATATATTTCAGCTGGCAATAGAAGTTGCTGTAAACATCTTATTAAAAACCGCTTTCTTCAAAATGAAGTGGATAATATTAGAGTTTATTCTTCAACTAGCATAATTTCCGTGACAGAGTTACGAAAACTGTTGAAACAGTTATCAATTACAATAGATACTGAAATTCATCATAAAAATACAGATTTCACATTTCCGGAGGTACGGTTAATAATACTGATTAGGTTAACTTGGGAGAACGTTATAGAATGACGTGATATGATGACAGAATTTGTATATACTAGGATCAAAAACTTTCAGTAAACAGAAATCGGTAGAAGCTATCGAAGGTTTCACCGATAAGGTAGATGAGGTTTAGTTATTGAGCTGTCTAAGAATAAAACGCACAAGCGGAATAAGAAAGCAGGTAAAAAGGGCGAAAACTAGAGAGGTGATGTTGTTGTGACTGTGGCCGGTAGGCAGCAGCCGTCAGCAAACTACCAACTTGCGAAAGAAGCAGAACGCGTAGGTTCGTTAGCCCCAGCTGCAAGTTCAGCCCCTAGCTTAATTCTGCAGCAGCATAATCTAAAAGGCGGTACCTTTAGAGGCAATTTAGATAGACCGTTTACAGGAGCCTGTTTCAATTGTAACGAAGTAGAATATGTAGGATTGATAAATGAGCAGCATGAAGTTATAAAACGTGGGAAAATGAGCTTCTTACTTCGATAGTAGAGAGAAGTCAGGCGCAGGATAGCGTAAATATAGATTTCTAATAATAAGCTAATAATTGGTCCGAACATGTAAATAAAGACAATATCATACAGGGAAACGTAAAAGTCTGCTCGAAATATCAAAATGCTATATCGCACGACTATTAACCAAATAACAATGCGCGGGATACCATCAGTTCAGGTATTTAACATGCGACGGTTAGTTCGCCCGGTAAATGTGAATCACTATAAGGTGAGTTGTCGTTGCTCCGCATGAGCGCAAGAGAAGTAGGTTTCAGTATTTATCCCACGGTAGGGCAGACTTTGAAAAATGCCGTTGCCTTTCGAAATAAGAACTAACCTGCGGTAAATTATGGAGAGAGTCTGATTGTAACTCACAATTTCCTAAAGAATCGGTAGAGCGCTGCTAAATTCAGGTGCGCAGATATCAGTGATAGGGTTAAATCTTGGCTTACGGTTTAGGGACCGATTAAGGCCGCCTACGATATTCGTGCAGGGTAGCTCAGGAGAGAAGCCGCGAACGTAGGGTGACTTGAAAATAAGTATGGAAATTGGTGGTAAGACTGATTTGTTAATTGCGACGGTAATATCTACGTTAAGACACGACTTGATTTTAGGCGCAGATTTGTGGAATAAATAGAACATTAACGTTAATTACGGGAATGCCGTTTGGCAGACAGATTATCAAAGTGATTAGTGTCAGTTAGCAGAAAAAGATAGTGATAGATGTTTACGCAGAGCGTGCAGAGTTGAGTAGCTACGAGGGCTCAGCAAAAGACAATCATGGCACTTGTCCCGGCATCCGGCGAATGACCACAGTTACAGAGGTTATCGAGCACATCATCGGTGTAGGTGATGCACGACCCTTAAAGACGCTGATGCGCCGTATGTCGCCCCTGAATTTAGCATTCAAGCAGGAAAAAACTATGCGACTATGGAAAGCAAAAATAATTAGTCTATCGAATTGTCAATGATGCCGCGCGCCGGTGATCATGTGCAGATAAGACGGTGGTTATAGGTTTTATCTTGATTTTAGACCAGC